TCTCTCTTTTTAATCTGTTTTTGTTTCACCACGCACTAGATCTCTGCACACTTTGCTGTTCAGTCTTACACCCACAATACACCTGGGGTGTCAAACTAATTAAACGCCACAGATTGGGCTAAATATCGCCTTATATTATGTAGAGCTGGTCAGTGCATCTTACTGTATATTAGTGATATTATTGGATGACAATATATATTTGCAGAATGTCAGGATATATACTGTTAAAAGTTCTTTCTGGATATAAACTTTACACATCTCACGACTATAAATACCCCTGCGCACTCTCTGAGAAGAGCATTGCAGTTTTATATTCACAGTGTGTTTGACAGCACTGAGTATTGTGGCCAGTGAACACAATGAATGGGTATGTTTACATGGACAGCAATCTGATTTTAATGATAAAGACAATACTCTGTTTAAGGGTGCATCATGTAAACAGCGATTTCTGATTAATTTAACCCAATTAGGGTCATAATTAGACTACACAGAAATCGAATTAAGACGTGGAGTATGTCGATGTTAGTTGCATCATTGAGGTGCAGTACAGATATGTTATACTTTAATCAAACTATTACCATTGTGTAGGATTTTCGTCATATATTGAGACAGGATATTCCAAACACACACTATTTCCTGCACTTACCGAGTCAATCGAATTATGTGCTGTAACATGTAAAACGGAATCATAAAAGGAACATTCAAAAAGCAACTGATGTAAACTCCTTAATCATATTATTGTCTTATTCAGATTAAGGCAAATTATTCCATTATTAATGTTCATGTGAACATAGTCATTGAAGACTCTGGATCAAGAGTTTTTTTATTTATTTTTTTGCCATAAACTACGCTCTAGACTTCTGTTGTGTACAACACTTTTGTAAATTGTTTCATTGTGACTGGTATTATGTAATATAATGTAAATACAATATTTATTGTGCAGTTTAAACATTTAATCATTTAAATGTGTTTCCACTACATAACTTTTTTTTTCGTTTGGTTTTTCTTTTTTTTATTTTTATTTTCCTGTCTGATATAAAGCATGCTGGAACTAGAAATCTTCATAGTTGGGTTAACTCGTTCAATTCAAGTTCAGCCCAAAACAATCAAATTTTGAGTTTTGAGATTAATTGAATGTTGATGTAAGTTGTTTCTTGTACAGTGACTTTTTATTTAAAATAATTCAAATAAACGTATTTACATGTAATTAGTTGCACTGCTACATTTTACAGTGTGAAGACGATACACTCAAAAAATAAGTTTGCTTCTTTTTCAAACAACTTATTTAAAATGAGCTGAAACAAGGCAAGGCAAGTTTATTTATATAGCACATTTCATAAACAATAGTAATTCAAAGTGCTTTACTTTAACAAGAATAAAAGAAACAAGAAAATAAAACGACAAGGAAAAGCAATGATTAAAGACAGATTAAAATTAGTTAAAACATGTTATAAAAGAAAAAAAAGAAAGAAAAGAAAGACATAATAGTGTGATCTGTTGGACGTACAGTGCCAGGGGCAGACTGGCCATCTGGCAATTCTGGCAAATGCCAGAAGGGCCGGACCAATTTTTAAATGTGGGCCGGTCAGTTTTTTTTTTTTTTTTTTTAATATGTATTGTTTTTAAGTGCAGACAGCTTTTATCTCTTGCTAGATATGATATTATGATGATGATAATAATGATAATAATAATAATAAATGTTAAGCATTTGGCCCAATCGGCAACTGCCGCCTGGTTTCAAGATGGGCCGACCCAATCCAAGTTTACCTGGACATAATCAAAATCTGGCAAGATTGTCATATTATTTCACCATCTTTACACCAAAGTAAATAGTGAATGTGCGTGTCTGTGGGTGGGGCTGTGTCGGTGCGGTAATGTAGGCTGGTGTGGCAACAGTGCCAGGGCTGAATTTTTGTCCCAGTCCGCCCCTGTACAGTGCTCATTCAGTAAAGGCACAGCTAAACAGATGTGTTTTAAGTCTTGATTTGAATGTACCTAATGTTGGAGCACATCTGATCATTTCTGGAAGCTAATTGCAGCAGTGGGGGCGTAGTAGCTGGAAGCCGATTCACCCTGCTTTGACTGAACTCTTGGAATTTCTAATTTACTCGATCTGAGTGATCTGTTAGGTTTGTAATCAGTGAGCATTCTGTAATGTGTTGAGGCCATTTAATAATTTAAATGACAAGTAATAATACTTTAAAATCTATTCTGAATGTAATAGGAGCCAGTGCAAAGACCTGAGGACAGGTGTGATGTGCTCTAATTTTCTGGTTTTGATCCACACAATTCTCGAGATTGTTCAATCCACTTAATCGTTAACATGTGTAGGGATGCAATCGATTTGTGTTGGGGTAACATGAATGAATTATGCGGAATACCAGCTGGATGTCTTTTTAAAAAGCTTAATTTATAATATATAAAAATATAATATACTGTATACTTTCAAAAATATAATTATTCTTGCCAAACTATAAGACATGCATGGAATACTATGAAAATTGATTTTCTTTATTTAACAACACTTCAAATAAAAAATAAAAGACTTTTAAAATATATATATATTTTTCCCCGAATGGTAGTGTAGAGAGACTCTATATAATCTACAACAACCTTCCAAGTATGCATAAAGCATTTTTTCTTCTTTTTCATTTTGTCAAATCATCCCAGGGGCCGGATTATACTCCTCTGCAGGCTCTATCCACCCCACGGGCTTTGCTTTTGACACCCCTGTCTTATGCAAATTGCACAGTCATTGTGGAAACGTTGGTTATAGATGCCACTCATCTTCATAAGCTCCACAAGGTTAAGCGGAACAGCAAGCTAAAGGAAAATGCAAGCAAGGCAGGTTAAGATGTATGCTTGTCTTTAAAATGAGCACTGGGACATTGTAAAATGGTCCACGCCAGCTGAGATCATGTGACGTAGCTTTTGATGAAGTAACAGCGGTGAAGAAATGGCTTCCCCTGCCTTATGGACTGCATTATTGATGTTTCTCCTCACATCTTCACTCCAAAGATTCAGCACATAAAAGACACTTATTTATATCCGCTGTTCACCAAACCTGCTTTTGACGGGATTTGCTTCTCTGATATTGCCTGTTTCAGTCCTCACACACTTAAAAATGAAGAATTGTTCAAATGGCCATTTTTCTCTCCTGAGTTTAACTGTTTTTTTTTATTCTTCTTCTCCCCCTCTCTTCTTGTTTTTGCATTGAAGTTGAATTATTTGGAAACTGTATTATACAATTAGTCATAGAATGATGACTGAAAATCTGTGTAAATATATATTTATTTAGTTTTTATATTCATTTTAGTAATATTTTTGAATAATATGCTAATGTTTGTTTAGATGATTTATGTACAATGCAGTTTTTAAAGTTTATTTTTTTAATTTTTTCGTAGATATATTATGCATCCATGAGAGATTTTATGTGGCTTTGTTTACAGAACATGTGGACTTGCATTCTATTCCTTAATTAAAAACTAAAAAGTATGTATATTTGTGTATATATATATATACTGTATACACACACCCCATTTCGAAAATGAATATTTTTATCAATTTCTCAATGAATATAGGCAATGTATTTTGGTGCATTTAAACAAAACAGATTTATTAAACAGATATATTATTAAAATAATATTTTAGTCACCAAACATATTTAGAAATTGAAAGATAATTCAATAAATTCAAGCGAAATATTGCAAAAAAATTTAAAAATACAAAATTTTAACTAAATTGTTCCTCTTTTTTTAAATTTGTGTTTAATATTTTTCTAGAACATATAAATTTGGGTGTACTAGTTTTTGGACCGTTACTGTACTGACTAATCTAATGTATATGTAAAAATATAATATGATATAATAATATGATATAAATAATTCTGACTTCAACTCAATTTATCTTAATTATATTCAAATATGATTCTTTGTTTTGAATATTCTAAGGAAGTTATCTAAGTGCTCATCTGAAATAAAATCGATTGGTGACCAGAATCAGAAACAGTCCACACCAGTTATTTTATTGTTTGATTTTTTACAAGTAATCTTTCTTTCTTTCTTTCTTTCTTTCTTTCTTTCTTTCTTTCTTTCTTTCTTTCTTTCTTTCTTTCTTTCTTTCTTTCTTTCTTTCTTTCTTTCTTTTTTTTCTTTCTTTCTTTCTTTCTTTCTTTCTTTCTTTCTTTCTTTCTTTCTTTCTTTCTTTCTTTCTTTCTTTCTTTCTTTCTTTCATTCATTTATCTTATTTTATTTTCAAGTAACAAATATCATGTTAATATTTGTCTTTCATGGTTTGTCTTTAGCTTTACAAAATATTATAACCCTGGTTTACACATCTATAGGCCTATTAAGATCTCAAATTAGCTGATAATAATTATCGATCAAATGATACAAATTATTTAATTGGCTTTGTTGTATTATTTATACACATTTAACTAGGCCCATATCTTAAATATTGTGAAAATAATTGAAAAGTTTAAAAGTGTAAAACAATAAGCATAAACTTTGTATTCTTGACAGCAGCTTTTTTATTGTTTAGTTTTTCTTCATTTCTCCACTCCTCGTTCTATTCCATTAGCTGTTCAACTTTTAATGACCAAAGATCTTTGGGATGACAAGAACGCAGTGAAAGTTGAGCATTTTTCAACTTTTCTGACATTAATCCTTCCATATATGCAAAATTTCCCTTATGTAAAATGTACACTCCACAGCCATCATAAATAATTGGCCTGAGATCAAATAACCACAATCAGACTTCAATAATGACTGCCCTGTACATCTCTTCTAGACTTACAGTGCTTTTTTGTCCTTTTGTTGTTTGTTGTTTGTTGCCAAAAGAAAATGTGTTGCTAAAAAAAAAATAAGAAAGGTTTATAACAAAAAGAGTGTCATTAGCTGTTGACAGATTTTTCATTTTTGGGACACTATTTTATTTAATGGCTGAGGGGGAAAAACAGCATGAATGTTTCAGTGAATTTCCCCTCTTGTGTCTGTGTTTAGGGTCCTGATGGTGAAGTGTTGGTCCGCAGTGATGCCCGAGTGTCGTCCCTCACCCTGAAGTATCCTCAATACACAGACGCCGGACAGTATCTCTGCACTGCCCGCAATGCCATTGGAGAAACTGTGCAACCCGTCAGTCTGGAAGTGCGCTGTGAGTCTATAGTATCCGTAGCTTCATTAGCTTCCATCAGTCACACGTACTGTTGGAGACCACACTGATATGCCTCAGAGGCTTATGTTTAATTCACAGCATCACTGAGGCTCTGCTGCGTTCACAGCGCATATGGCAACTCAGTTGAGATATTGGTAGTTAATGTATTAAAACTACAGCCACCCCCAAACATTATCAGCCCCTCCTCCACTACGGGATACCAATGAGATGGAGAAAGACTCCCTGTAGACTTCAATCACACTGTGTCCTAAACAAGAGCAACGTGACTAGGGTTTTCTGTCCATAATTGGGTTTGAAAATTCTGCACAACATCTAGGGATGTCAATCCTGAGGGAGTGTGTTTATAATGAATGATTGACTTTTTAAATGACAAATTAAATTAGTCAAAATTATTAGCCCTCATGTGCATTTTCTTATTCAACTATTTCTCAAAGGATGTTTAAAAGAGCTAGGGATTTTTCACAGTATTTCCAATAATATTTTTCTTCTGGAGAAAATTACCCTAACTTGCCTAATTAACCTAGTTAAGCCTTTAAATGTCATTTTAAGATAAATAGTAATATTTAAAAAAAAAATTATAGTAAAATATTATGTCTTGTCAAGATTGTTGAAGATAAAAGAAATAAGTTATTAGAAATTAGTTAATAAAACTGTTGTTTAGAAATGTGTCACAAAAAAAACTTTTTGTTAAGCAGAAATTGGGGTCAAAAATATATAGGGGGCTAATAATTTAGGAGGGCTATTAAGTGATGATAAGTGACTGCAACCGTACTCTACCTGACAAAAGTCTTGCTGTCGATCCCAGTTATAAGAGCAATAAATAATAACTTGACTTCTAGTTGTTCATTTGGAAAAGTGGCAGAAGGTAGATTTTTTGATCAACTGTATCCCAATCATCACAATTACTGCGGAAGACCTGTTGGAACTGGCATAGACCCAAGATTTTTAGAAATCAGTCAAGTTCGGTGAAGAATCACATTTGTTCTGCCCATTACAAAACAAACCACAGGAGAGGGCAAATTCTTCAGCAGGACAGCGCTCCTTCTCATACTTCAGCCTCCACATTAAAGTTCCTGAAAGCAAAGAAGGTCAAGGTGCTCCAGGATTGGCCAGCCCAGTCACCAGAAATGAACATTATTGAGCATGTCTGGGGTAAGATGAAGGAGAAGGCATTGAAGAAGAATCCAAATAATCTTGATGAACTCTTGGAGTTCTGCAGGAATGCCTTCTTTGCCATTCCAGATGACTTTATTAGTTATTTGAGTTAAGTTAATTGAGTCATTGCAGATAGATGCAGTCCTCCAAGCTCATGGGAGTCATACACAAGCATTTTCCCTCTGCGCCATGACTTTAAATTCTATACTCTACATTAATTCTGTTAAGTGACAAGACTTTTGTCTCAACAAAGTCAGACCTTATAATCCTAATTTAAAAAATAATAGTCAAGACATGATCATATTATTTTGGTAAAATAAGTGTATATGCCTTTGCCTTTTATATCAACCACTTCTGATATCAAATGATCAATCAAAAGTCAAGTTATTATCTGTTGTTCCTAAAACTTGGATAAGCGGCAAGATGTTTGTCAGGCAGTATATAAATATAAAATAATAACTTCATAGTGAAGCTAAAATTGATTAATTGACAATAGGTGTGCTTAATTGAGAGCATGGATTGAATATGTTCAAATGTTCTCTGATGTCTACATAATAGGTATGTGGCTTAGGTACATGCACAAATTCTCCAGAAATTATTTTATATGCTCAATAATAATCAGAGAAAATACCACTGGAAAAAGGTTTCGTTTCGTCCATATTTGGAATGGTTATTAATGGTTATTAATGAGGTTCAATAATGAGAATAAATATTAATGAGCTCACCTCTGATTCGATTTATTACAGTTTACATGTGTCTGTTGCCTCATTTCAAAATTACACGGCAAATCACACAATATACATGTTAATCTAACAAAAGGTACAGTTAAACAGACCATATGCTTCTTTAGGGGGCGCTGAATAGATTTTTAAATCCGTCTCTATAAAGCTCTATAATGGTTGTCTCATTTTCAAAATAAGAGTCCTACATACAAAGCGAGTACAATACAAGCTTAGATAAAAGAAAATAAGGGAAAATTAATTGTAATCCATGGTCAATCAAAGACGACCTGTGGAGAGCATATTAATGATCCTGTGTGGATCCAGATTTTTAAAAGATGGCACCTTTAGTTTATTAACTATTTTGTTTGTTTGTTGTTTTGTTTTGTAAGATTAATGTAAAAGAAAATAAGGCTATTATTGCAAAACTTTTAGTCTGTTCATTGCACATTCATTAGAGTGAACTAAAAAACAGTTTTTATGTTTGTTTGTGTCAAATGGAGTGCACAGTAGCAATAACTAATTAAACTCTACTAGCACAGACAAAATTTGCACCTATTTACTACCTACAATTCGTATAGTGCTGTAGCTTCAAAAATGGAGCAGTCCCCTTCCCTCTGTGTTTTAATTGCAATCGATAGCAAGTAAAGAATTGCCGCCCGTTTTTACTCTCATTGTGTTCCCCCCACTGCGCCTGTTTGTATTTGTTTTCACATTAGCGGCGGCGTATGCTGTGCAAATACCAGCCTCCCTCCTCGCATGTTTTGTGCATTTGTACCAGCCGTGTATTGCTGTGATGGGACTAATGACATCTGAAGCTCTGATGAATGTGAGAACAGTATCTCAGCGGGCCGCGGGCTCTTCGCATGCAGTCTGTGAGGGAACGCGGGCCCAATCGCGTACATCCTCGTGCTATTCAGGGACACCGCTGCTCAGAGGAGGAGCTTTTTGAAACCAATGAAGCGTGATTGGCTTTCATGTGCAGCCGTGAGCAGATGTGTTCAGCATCTCTCTGTTTTCAGCACTCTGTGTTTAAGCCCTGGACATTTTGATCTTTAACCACCACATCCTCCGAATAAAGGCATCAAGGATAATTAGAAGGGAGGCTTTGGTCTCCCTTAGCGGATGGAGGTAGATGAAGGGTCAGCACTGCCAGCAGGTTTGTTTGTTTTGAGTTGTATATGCTTTGCCTTTCATCACAGACGCCCCGAAAATCCTGGGCTCAGTAGCGGTGTACACGTGGGAGGGCAACCCGGCCAACATCAGCTGTGAAGTACTGGCTCACCCCAGCGATGTGTCTATTACGTGGCTGCGAGACGGCTTCCAGCTGCCCAACGCTAACACCTCCAATATCAAGATCCACAACACGCCTTCCGCCAGCTACCTGGAGGTACAGCCCACACAGATGCCTGCCTGCCTGCATGCCAGCCTGAAAACATAAACATTATCCATATACATGAACACAGATAGGGGAATCACATAAACTTCAAAGAAAAAAAAATATATATATATATATATATTAAATCATATATTATACTCACTTTATAAGGTACATCTTACTAGTATAGGCTCCAACAACCATGCCATGTTCAAAGACACTTAAACCACCTTTCATCCCCATTATGTGCTCAGTTTGAACTGCAGCAGATCATCTTGACCATGTCTACATGCCTAAATGCATTGAGTTGCTGCTGATTAGAAGTTGCATTAAAGACAAGTTGGACTAGTGTACCTAATAAAATGGCCGGGGATTGTATTGTGTTATATTATATTCATTAGGAAGTATAGGCTTTTGTGGCCAGGGTTGAATTTATTGATTTAAAGGGCCCTAAGCAATTCTAAAATGCACCCTTTGTACTTTTATTCATTTTCTATGTATTTATATTGGTAATGCAATCTCTATATTGTTAAATGATTTGTTTACTTAAGAGGAATTCACAACTAAAGACCATAAATTAACGATTTTGTTTTTTAAAACTAAATCTTTACCTGATTTGTCTACTGGACTGCTCCATGATTGGGGTGGGGGACAAATTTGCACAGATGTAATAATTAACATTAAATTTGTATTTGTTAGACCCTCACCATACAAAATATGATAGAAAACGATGCTATGTATAATTTATTGGTTTTATTGGTTTATTGGTTTAATCCACCCCTTCTTGTGGATCCATTCTATTCTATTCTATTCTATTCCATTCTATTCTATTCTATTCTATTCTATTCTATTCTATTCTGTTGTTTTGTTTTTTTGTTTTGTTCTGTTCTGTTCTGTTTTGTTCTGTTCTCTTCTACTTTGTTCTGTTTTGTTCTATTCTGTTCTGTTTTTTTCTGTTCTCTGTTCTGTTCTATTCTATTCTATTCTATTCTATTCTATTATGTTCCATTTTCATCTGCTCTATTCTCTTCTGTTCTGTTTTAATCTATTATATTCTGTTCTCTTCTATTCTGTTCTGTTCTCTTATGTTCTATTCTGTTATGTTCTGTTTTGTTCTTCTCAATTATGTTCTATTCTATTCTGTTCTGTTCTCTTCTGTTCTCTTTACAAATGCATTGTTCACTGCTGCTTTGTTCAGAACAGAAGTTACTTTTTTTAGAAAGCTGAAACAAAATTAAACATACACACAGGCAAACACAAAATATTAAATAATGTGTGTGTGTGTGTGTGTGTGTGTGTGTGTGTGTGTGTGTGTGTGTGTGTGTGTGTGTGTGTGTGTGTGTGTGTGTGTGTGTGTGTGTGTGTGTGTGTATGTGTATAAAGAAAATAAATATAAGCTGAATAATAATAATAAGCTGAAATTACTGATTATAAAATGTCATCAAAATAAATTATTTTATAAAATAATAATAATAATAATAATAATAATGACAAAAATGCTTAACAGAGTTACCTAACATTAAAAGAAGTAAAAAAAAAGTATCAAATAAAAGCAATTTTTATTAACAATGTGAACTTTAATAATATATACAGTACATAATAAAATTATGGGCGGCACTGTGGCTCAGTGGTTAACACTGTTGCCTCATAGCAAGAAGTCCCGACTGGCCCAGTTAGCATTTCTGTGTGGAGTTTGCATGTTCTCACTGTGTTTGCGTGGATTTCCTCCAGGTGCTCCGGTTTCCCCCACAGCCCAAATAAATACGCTACAGCTGATCTGAATAAGCTAAACTGTCCATAGTGTTTGAGTGTGAGAGTGTATGGTTGTTTCCTAGTAGTGGGTTGCAGCTGGAAGGTAATCCACTGCGTAAAATATATGCTGAGATAGTTGGTGGTTCATTCTGCTGTGGCGACCCCTGATAAATAAGGGACTAAGCCGAAGGAGAATGAATGCAAAAAAGTAAATCAGGAAATTAAATATTGGAATAAACTGAAATGGCGAAAATAATAATAGTAAAATGCAATTAAAGTAATATTAAAATATTGGTAATAATTCATTCATTCATTTTCTTTTCGGCTTAGTCCCTTTATTAATCCGGGGTCGCCACAGTGGAATGAACCGCCAACTTATCCAGCATATGTTTTATGCAGCGGATGCCCTTCCAGCTGCAACCTATCTCTGGAGAACATACATACACATTCATTCACATTCATACACTACGGACAATTTAGCCTACCCAATTCACCTGTACCGGATGTCTTTGGACTGTGGGGGAAACCGGAGCACCCGGAGGAAACCCTTGCAAACACGGGGAGAACATGCAAACTCCACACAGAAACACCAACTGACCCAGCCGAAGCTCAAACCAGCGGCATTCTTGCTGTGAGGCAAGAATACTACCCACTGCATCACCTAATGGTAATAATAATAATGACAAAAATGCTTAACAGAGTTACTTAGAGTTTAAAAAAGTATAAAATAAAAGCTAATTTTACAAGCAATGCATATACTGAATATATTGATTAAGTAGATTCAACAATTGCTGTGTTTCTTTCTCTTACAGCATGAGTTTAAATGCTTTTGACTCATGTTGTTAGTTTTTGAGGGCAGGAAAGCAGTTGAACATGTCATGTGAATTAAATTGGAGCCAGCATGTGCAAGAACAATTTGTTCACTGGAATAATTTGCTTAAAACAATGATACATTCGTCAGCTACAGTTTTAATGTTTCTTTTTTTGTCTTTTGTTTTTAAATCAAGCTTCATTTTCCGTATTAGAAAACACAATACAGTACTTACTAACTTTATACCCACTTCTATTTTGGTTTTGGGCTGAAATATGACCTTACACCTGTTTTTCGTGAGCTTCACCCAGGACGGGATAGTATTGCTGTAGGGCTTTACTGCAGCCTATGCACCTTATCAATATTTTAGCACAGAGAGCACACCGTCAGGAGTAAATACACATCTAATGGAACGACAGTGATAAAATGCATGTTTGAAAGATAAATGCTGAGATGGAGACTAGAGGTTAATGCATTCGCTTGATCCCTCCCAGGTCAATCCAGAGTCTCAGAGCGACTTTGGCAACTACAACTGCACTACCTCCAACGAGATCGGGACCGAATCCAGAGAGTTCATCATGATCCCAGCTGGTCTGTTTCTCTCTCTATTGATCACAAAAAAAAAACAAAATACAGTAATTTACAGTGGTAGCAAATCACATTGACATTGAGTGTTTGGATGCGTTTTGCTTTCAAGGTAGTGGATTTTTTTCCGTAATTGCTTGCAATTCTAGCTTTTGTTCGGTAAAGTGCAATACAATAGCTCAGAATTTTTCTCCAGCCATCATAACTCTGTGTTTAAAGCGTTACAATCAGGCCATATAATTGGGCATAAGCTGTTAAAGTGCAGTTTTCTCCACTGTGTGTTTTGAAGTGTCTCCCCTGTGGTGCAGATGTGCCCTCGGCGCCGTCCATCGGTGAAGTGCAGCCGTACTCCAGCACAGCTCAGGTGCTTTTCGAAGAGCCCGAGTCCACTGGAGGAGTTCCTGTGCTCAAGTACCGAGCCGAGTGGAGAGCCGTGGGCCGAGGGAAATGGGTGCAGCGAGTCTATGAGGTGAAAGACGGTAAGTTCAGTCCAGCTCATCAAGTGAAGCAGGAAGCCATTGTTTTAAATGAAATCTCAACATCCTGAGATGAAACAGTATTGATTTTATACTGTTTCAATGCACTAATACTAACTGCACAGAGTCAGACCATGGCCGTACATGGACACACCTCCTGTCATGTACCGATTCTGATTAGGCCTATTTAAAGCATTTTGTTATGCTGTAATTATGCTGTGACTTGACATGGGATGATAACCAGTTTCCATGTAAGGTTTACCTCAGTTTGTAAAAGTCAAGGTTTTAGAACTGCTAGGATGCTCCTATGTTTTATTTTTTATAACTATTTTATTTCGTTTTTTAGAGCAATAGTATATCAAGCAGGAAAGTACACTCAACATCAAGAGCTACTGGTCAGCCCACGATTCACCAAACATCTGAAAAACAAATCACTTATAAACCAACATCTTAACATGCTAAACATTTAAACAGTGCAGCGGTTTACTATATACACACAGAAAAGAAATATACCCAAAAAACCCTTTTCAAGTTGTAAAGAAATTGGTGTTTTTGAAACTAATGAAGACAGAAGAGGTCTGTGATTTATTTTAAACATTTAGACGGACATGTTCACTGTTCAAAATATTTAAAACATTTCTTAAAATAAAATGTTTTGTGTTTAATGGGGAAAATGTGTTTTTACCCAGACTTTTAAAATGAACATGTTTTGGAGCAGTAATTAAAATACCATAAAACCATAAAATTTTCATTTAAGGTTATTATACCATCAAGGAATCTTATACCAGCCCATGCGTAGTTACGACCAATATTGGTCCAATCTGTCTTACCACGGTTTCATTTCATCAGTGCCATTTATCCTGTTTTAAGCAGCTAAGTGTGACGTTTTTGCTTTATTTTTGCTCTAGTTATGCTGTGTTCACACCGAACGTGGAGCACTGCATAAATCGCTCTAGTTAAATCGTAGGATGTTTTTTTCCTCGTGCAAAGTTTACGAGTTTAATTATTTGAACTTGCATTTTGCATCTTTACAACTCCACGATTGGTGTGAACTCAGCATTTGTTTATTAGTTCAGCAGTATGATATAGAAATTTAAGGGTCAGTTTGTAAGATTTTTTTTCCCATTAAATTATTCAAAAACCACTAGAACTGTGTTATATTTTGCTGACTTATGTACAGTGGAAGTCAGAATTATTAACCCCCCTTTGATTATTTTTTTTCTTTTTTAAAATATTTCCCAATATTTTTTCTTCTAGAGAAAGTCTTTTTTGTTTTTATTTCAGCTAGAATAAAAGCAGTATTAAAAATTTAATTTAAAATTTAATTTAAAAATTCAAAATTTTTAACCCTTTAAGCTATTTCTCTTTTGGATAGTCTACAAGACAAACCATCGTTTTACAATAACTTGCCTAATCTCCCTAACCTGCCTAGTTACCCTAATTAACCTAGTTAAGCCTTTAAATGTCACTTTAAGCTGTAAAGAAGTGTCTTGAAAAATATCTAGTAAAATATTTTGTGCTGTCATCATGACAAAAATAAAATAAATCAGTTATTAGAAATGGGTTATAAAAACTATTTTGTTTAGAAATGTGCTGAAATAAATCTTCTCTCCATTAAACAGAAATTGGGGAAAAAAAACAAACAAAGGGCCAAAATTTCTGGGGGGGTAATAATTCTAACCTTAACTGTATTGGGATAAAACATTATCCCAAATGTTTTGTTCAAAACCAGAGAAAAGCCATTGACCAATGACATATTTGTGTTCTTTGTTGCCATGCAAATGCGTGTAGACTCTTGATTTCTAGCTTTAGAGAAAACAGGAAAAGTTTTGAATACTTTAGCTCATTTGTGAGCATGATTTCTCCACAAATCATGTAGGGTGTAATGAAAATGACAGCTCTCAAAATTCCACTCGCAGTCATTCCACTTTTACTTGTTTCACACATTTATGAGTTTCTTTTTGTCTGTTAAACACAAAATAAGATATTTTGCAGAATGTTGAAAACCAGTAAACATTGAATTCCATAGTATTTGTTTTTCCTACTATGGAAGCCAATGGTTACAGATTTTCAGCTTTATTCACAATATCTTTAGTGTTGAAAAGAATGAAGAAACACATGAAGGTTTGGAGCCACTTGAGAGTGAGGAAACACAAAGTACATTTTCATTTTTGGCTGAACTTTACATCCATGCCAACACTAGTCATACCTATCATCAAATTAACACATCATTTTTTAAACTTTGGCAGGATTGATATTTTCTCATGTTTAGTTTTTTAAAGGAGCCAAATATACTTAAAACTTCATTCTTTTTAGATTCATAAATGCAAGTAAATGACTACCAGCACTTTAAGACTTAAAAAGGACCCCCTTTTTTATTTTAAGTAACTTATATTCTGCAAAGTAATTAATGTTATAAAGATTTTGAGGGTTAGTGAACGATATAACAAAAGGAATGAGAGTGAATGAAAAATATCTCGTCTGTAGCTTTAAATGTTAAATGTATTTCTGCTATGTTTCGTGGCAAGTTATTTTGCTGCCCATCTAACATGCATGCTGTTGTTTATGAATTAATGAATGGGTTTTTGATTAAATCTACTTCTTGCTGCTTCCCTGCAGGACTGAGTTCAGTCACAGTCACTGGCCTTAAACCCGAAACCGATTACGAAGTCAAGATGTCTGCTATCAACGGCAAGGGCGAAGGCGACAGCAGCCCGTCAATGGTCTTCAAAACCGAGCATGTTCGTGAGTATCACGTTCCTCTCTCTCTCTCTCTCAGGACCCCATGGTTCCATCAGCACCAGCGCAGCGTGCCGTGACGGCCCACACACCTTATCACCAGCTAGTGTGAAATCTTTGGCTGACGCAGATGCTCAAAGATACAGTCTGTGCTCAATGTGCTAAAGAGCCCAGAGAAATGACTTAATTAGTTTCAATATTAACATATTTACAGTACCTTGACCAATTCTCTCATTTAACTGAATTAGAAGTGAATCGAAACATAGCATTACAGCATGACATGATATTAAGATTTTTTATGTTTTTAGAATATCTATCTATCTATCTATCTATCTATCTATCTATCTATCTATCTATCTATCTATCTATCTATCTATCTATCTATCTATCTATCTATCTATCTATCTATCTATCTATCTATCTATCTATCTATCTATCTATCTATCTATCCATCCATCCATCCATCCATCCATCCATCCATCCATCCATCCATCCATCCATCCATCCATCCATCCATCCATCCATCCATCCATCCATCCATCCATCCATCCATCCATCCATCCATCCATCCATCCATCCATCCATCCAGCCAGCCAGCCAGCCAGCCAGCCAGCCAGCCAGCCAGCCAGCCAGCCAGCCAACCAGCTATCTAGCTATCTACAGTATCTAGCTATCCATCTAGCAACCTGTAATCTTTCTTTTAAACATATAGGGCTCTATTTTGACGGTCAATGCGCAAAGCGCAAAATGCAGGGCGCAAACGCTTTCAGGGCATGTCAGGACGTGTTTTTGCTAATTTATGGACGAGAAATCTGCCTTGCGCCAAGGCGCATGGTCTAAAAGGGTGGAGTTTATTTTCTTAATGAGTTATAGGTGTGTTTTGAGAATAACCAATTGTAATCTCATCTCCCATTCCCTTTAAGAGTCTGCTGCGTCGCGCCAAGAGCACATTCGCTATTTACAGGACGCAAAGAAAGTATAAGTGGAAAAAATTAGCATTTCACAAGCAAACAGTAAACAGTTGACAGTTTTTTTACAGTAGACTGTTATACAGAGCATCTACTGCGTGAGAATGAGAGATAAATGATCTACTTTCACTTTCGCTCTTGAATAGGGAAACCTTTACGCAAAGACATCAATTAGCCTTTAAATAATTAATTTCATTTGTTAAGCGCAAAGATTTGTTTCAAAACTATTTCTAAATTCAGTTCTAATTTCTAACAAACGAATAAATGAACAATAATGACCAAGTGTGGTCAAAATACTGAGTTATTTCCAAATACACCTGACATGCCCCATATGGTCTTAAACCTGACAGGTGGGCAAATCTAAGCTTGTTTTTAATAAAACAAATATAAATATGGATATAATAAATAATACTGCTAATAATAATAACATTATACAAAAGCAAATTGTTATGAATGAACTGAAAAAGCCCCCTGAGATGAAGAAGACATAAAAGCAGTGATTTTTCATATTTATATAGGCTAGAAAATAATATGTTTTGTAATATTTTAATCCTTTATATTTATATTCTATATCTATTCTTATTATATCCTATATATATCCTTAATATTTACATTTGTTCATATGAAAAGATATTTGCCTATTGCTCTCTTGTGCGTATTAAGCAGTGCGTAAGCGAGGCACAACTCTGCGCCGGAGTTTAGACCGGGTTAGTTTTGGTCTAATGAAAAATCTGTTATAGTTTCTCAAAATAGTGACGCGCCAGCGGTCCGCCTTAGAACGTCTTCCTTTTTAGACCAGAACGCCTATGGGCGCACAAGTGAGCTCTAATGCATTTGCTATTTAAAAAGCGTAGCGCAACGCCTCAAAACGACTCTTGCGCCAAGCTGAAACTACCAAAAGACTATTGCGCCGCGTCTTGCGCCACACTGCGCCGGGTGTATGATAGGGCCCATAATCTTCCAACAGATGACTTGCCAAAACCATTTAAATCTAGACAACATATCTGAGTAAATTGACCAAAAGAACTTGAAAGTGTAACAACATTCTAAAACACGTTGGCCCTGTCAAAACACGTTAGACAGTTAACAGGACCTATTATACACCCTGCGTATTTCAGACCAGCTCAACCCTAATTTTCATGTTTTGAGGCATGTTGTTTAAAAAGCAAATCCATTTGCGCCACTTTGTGGAGGTATTTCAGTCTAAACGTGAAGTGAAAAGCTGTGTTAAGGCACAATGTTGGTGCGTTGCTATTTTGAGGAACTGTAATAGACCATGGCATTGACCAACTCTAAGCTGGTCTAAAGTTTAGTTTAGAGCGCTCCACACAGAAATGTCAACTGACCCAGTCAAGGCTCGAACCAGTGACCTTCGTGCTGTGAGGCGACAGCACTACCTGCTGCGCCCCCGCATCATCCCTAATTAGAAATTGTTTTAAAACAAATATTTGTGCTTAACAAACAAAATTAATTAAAGGGAATGGGAGATGAGAATCTGATTAGTTTAATGCACTCAAAACACACCCATAACTCATTAAGTTAATGAGCACAACCCTGTTAGACCAAGTGCCAGGGCACAAAGTTTTTTTTTTCAGACCTTAAAATAGCAAATTTGAACGTTAAAATTTGCAAAATTTGCTAGAAACAAGCTAACAAACCAATTAGTTCTTGTCAAATAATAAACACGTTACCCTTATGAACACAAACCATGTTTTACTAAGAATGAAGCAAAAATGTACACTTTAGTTTATGTACACATCTATAATTTAAGCAAGCTATTTGTAAAAAAAAACTCTGGTTATACAAATCCCCCCCCCCCCCCCCGGCGTAACTCAAGGCTGAACTATCATAGAATGTTGTATTTTGGGAAAATGACGATGTAGTGACGAGTGCTTCCCAAAACCCGTAGTTTTTCTTTCGATCCATCGTTTGAACCACATTAGTTACCGTAAAATGCCCATAAGGATGCTTATATTGTTTTACATGCACACACATTTAAAAAATAAATCCAATGTTAGTTTTGGTAAAAACATGCACTCGCTTTCCATATTAATTGAAATATATGTAAATGGCACATAGGACCTATTATATATATATATATATATATATATATATATATATATATATATATATATATATATATATATATATATATATATATATATATATATATATATATATATTCTATTCTAAAACATAAAATCACTTACACGTATTCTAACACGTATTCTAATCTCATATATAAAATTTACTACTGATTAGTAAATGAAAAAAATACTACTTTATTATTATCAGTATTATTATTATTATTTTTTAAGCAGGATATTGTTTATCTTTTATTTACTTTTTTACAGTTTGACACATGCAAACAACTGCAGAAATGTTCTAACCAACATATCCATGTCATATACGGTACATATATGTAATAAATAACCTACTATAAATTAAAAGCAATAACGTATGCTATGTTTTTTTCTTTTCACAAGCTTTGGAGACGTAACATAAATTCTGCTTTTAAATAATAGGTCGCCTATAGCTTTCACCATGAGCCACTACTGTTCAAAATGACATCATTGTTTTCAAAGTGCACTGTGAAAGGAGCGCAATTGTAAACATGAAGATTGCTAACACTGAACTGTAAAAATTATTTGGAAAGCAAGTTACCCCTAAAAGAGATGACTTTAGTGTTTTCTTTTTAAATCATTCCAAGTTTAAATGTTAGAATGTTCTAAATGAACAGGGCATAGAGGCGATAACTGGGAATAGAACACAGCCAGGAACTATGTTTTTAGCAACAGCTCCAGAGGTGTAGTTGCAAGCATACAAGTTTGCGACGCAGTTTGCCCATGTTCATTGGATTGATGGATTTGGGAAAAGCCAAATCAACAAACTTTATGTTTGCAACTTGCAGCCTTATTTGGCTACGATGGTTTTCGGAAACGCCCCATTGGCTATCAAAATGATAAATATGCTAACAAAATGGTAATCAACCATTTCTCTCTAGAATACTTTTCTTATTAGTAGTAGTTGTATATTTTTATATGAGTAGAATTATAATAAACTTATTATTATTGAAAAAATATTATTAAAAAAATATTATAATGCTATTATTATTATTATTATTATTATTATTATTATTATCATTATTTGTAGTAGTAGTAGTAATATTACAATCAAAATATCATTTGGCTGCTTGTTTAAACTACTTATTTAAAACGAGCTGAATTAACGCAATTGCTGAGGATTTTTTAGACAACTTAATTATTTTATGTTCAATCCACTTAAATTTGCAAAAGAAACAATTAAGTTAACTTAATATATTTGTGACAATGTGATGGAATAGTGCAGAAGCAGGCATTTTTTTACAGTGTAGTATTATTAAGTGATATATTTAAATATGTTTTATTACTATTCTAAAATCCCATATGGTCTATAGTGTCACAATGCTTAATAAAGCACAAAAGCTGACAGCAACTGTGTCCCCATAATGCAAACTCCAGTCAAATGCTTTTTGCGTGGTACTTTTTGAGTAATGCTTCTTTTATGCCTCACTCCCATGCAGGTCGCTGTTATGTCGAGCTCTTGATATGGTTGACTGGCTCACCTTAACTCTGTTCTCAGCTGAACTGAACTGAACTCAGAGTAATTGTTAGCCTCTTTGTGGCGCCTCCGAGTTCTGAAGCACCACATTTTCTAGACAACACCTGGGTGGTTTAATGCAGTTGCAACATTTTGACAACCAGTAAACAATTCCCACTTGGCTGTCCACCCCCCTTTTTTTGCCCATATGCAGGTTATGTATTATTCATCATGAAGAGAAACCGGGTGGTTATTTTAATCATTCATAGATAGACTATAGATGTGCTTTAAATATAAGCACTTCCTCAGCATATTTACATTATTCTATGACAAGAATACTGCATGAAATGGACATTTTGAATTTCAGGGCATCTAAATAAAGATCTCAAAGGGCTAAATGATGATGTACGATTGTAATTCAGCGCATGGAGAGAATTGGTTAATGGTCATGTTGCATTGTCAAATCAATATGTATGAATAATACATACTTGGCAGGTTTACTGCTGCTAAGCACATTCAAATATGCAGTCTATACTGGTCACACCTTAAATAAATGATTTTTACTTAATAATTGATTCATCCAACTTGTACGAACAGAACATCTTGTTCTCAAACAGGACATCAGATCCTGCAAACATTCCACCAAACATCAATAAAAATCCATCATAACACCGCACACTACAGGAATATTTCAGCGATCTGTGTTTATATTCTTCTCACGTCCGTCCACCACACACATCTGCCCTCTTTCTCCCCCTGGTGGTTGTTTGTGTGATGAGCGAGATGTTTTTGGGGCTTCCAGAGATTCCATTATCACATAATACACTCAACACTTTGTGCACTGGGATTTATTTCCTGTCAGTGCATGAAACCAAACCCATTTAGTGCTGAAATATCCAGGATGTAGTCCAGAGAGTAATGACTCTAACTCAGGTAAAGTATGAGAGATGAGAAAGTGTCACTGTCTGATCTAGTTGCAAGCTTTTACCCTTTGACATCTTCAGACTTTTTTTTTTCATCCTGTCATTTTATGTGATTTTGTTTCCCATTTGTATATTTTCCCCCCATTTGGATCCTACAGGTTATTCTTACACAAGTAAGTGTTTTGAGTTGTCTGTGATCTTTTTTTATTATTATTTCTTAAATCCTTTCTAGTGCGCTCACAAAAAAAAATGCTGTAGTAATTTATAGTAATTGCTATAGACCATTTTGAGGGATGTAAACAGTAACAATGGTCCTAATGTGTTTCCCGTTTTACATTTTTAATTTCCATAGCTTCAGATAGTCCTGAATAGCCCACATATTGCCAAATAAAGTTATGATAGCTGTTTTAACGTTAAGTAATGTTTGAATCGTCTTTTGTTACAGAATAAGCAGGAAGTGTTCATGGGCCAGTTTTATCACCACATTCAAATGGTCTATAGTGATTTTCAACCATGCTATAGTAAAGTACTTGAATGAACTGACTGTGGTAAATTTGTAGTTGCTATGGTAACACAACTATAGTAATACAAACAAACTAAAAACTATCATGTATTTTCCTACAACATTTTTGGATATTATATAAAAAATAACATTTTACTGCAGTACAAACTAAAGTAAACTAATACACATCCCTGCTGACAAAAAACAGTTTAAACCAGACTTGGCTGGTTTTAGCTGGTCAAACAGCCTGGCTTTAAAGGGGTTTTAGCCATTTCCAGGCTGGTTTTCAGCCACTTCCAGCCTGGTCTTAGTTGGTCAGGCTGGAAAATTTTCAGCTAAAACCAGCTTGACCAGCCTGGTTTAAGCTGGACATAGCTGGTTTTGGCTAGACTCCCAGGATGGCTAGGCTGGTCAAGCTGGTTTTAGCTGGTCATCTCCCAGCCTGACCAGCTAAGACCAAGCTGGAAGTGGCTGGAAACCAGCCTGGAAATGGCTAAAACCTCTTTAAAACAAGGCTGGTCAACCAGCTAAAACCAAGCTGTTTTTTTTTTTTCAGCAGGGGTAGTAATACACATATAGTATAGTTTAAAAACACTATAGTATTTACTTTAAATTACTATAGTATTTTTATGTGGGTGCTTTCTGTGTATGATTTAAAGACCCTGTGGAATCTAAATGAGAGTTTTGTAGCTTTTGCTCAATGTCATCCATTTGTTAGCATGTGAGATTTGACTAAAATAGCTTTTTTTGTCCTATCAAATGCTATTTATAACAAAAAATGTCCCTCTCTTCTATTAATATCTGTCTTTAGTTACTATAGCATCAGCAAGTTTGCAAAACCTTGCTGTCATGTGTTCTCATTGGGTCTTTAAATTGATATGCTATTTAATTCCTCAGCGAAACGCATCAAACTAAATAAAAGTGAACATTTTCTTTCTTTTTTTTGCTTTTCATTTGCTCCCTAGATGGGATTTTTCATTTTCACACTGAGGACACAGGTTTGTTTTGTAGATATATGATGATCAATAGAAATGATTGTATTGTTTTAAAACAGAAGCCAGAAAGATCCTTCTTTATGTAATAAGTTTATGTGTTCTGGCTTTGTGGCTGCGGAAAAGCATTCTTGTATTCCTAGGTTTACCACATAATCCCAGTCCAACTATATATATATCACAAATATCAAACACATCACAAATATAAAGTTTGTGAACTATGAATATCTCTTTAATGCAAATATTACACTGGGATGTGTAACATATACCTTATCATATTTGCTGAGCACATGTTTCACCTTCCAAGTGATAAAACCCAGATAAATCCCATATAACGAAAAGGACCCAAAATAAACATAGAGAACATAAGCAACAATCTCGAGCAGAGGTGCCCAAACTCAGTCCTGCATATTTTAGTTCCAACCCTAATTAAACACACCTGAACCAGCTAATCAAGCTCTTTCTAGGTATACTTGAAACTTCTTAGCAGGTGTGTTGAAGGAAGTTGGAGCAAAACTTTGCAGGACACTAGCCCTCCAGGACCGAGTTTGGACACCCCTGATCTAGAGGAACACCTTCAGAGCCTCAAAGAGTATCTGCTTAGCACAAATCAACGGCCCAAAGTATACCGTACTTTGTTTCATGCGTACTTAGCATACATTGCTCAGCATATGTAATTACACCCCTCAAAAATCTTTTAAATTCATAAATTCATATTTTTAATAGAAAGCTATTCAATATTATATTTCTGCATACATTAGATTAGTCAGTAATGAATCTGGAGCTTATCTAACAAAATAACTTACAATATTGGACCAAAAACTAGTACACCCAAATTTATGTAATAGTAAAATATTTAATTTAAATTTTAAAATGAAGCAAATTTGAAAGAGGAGCAAAAAATTAAAAATTAAAAATATAGTTGAAATTTTGTAGGTCATAGTTTTTATAGGTTGTAATATTTAATTTGAATTTAATTGTATTATCGTTCAATTTGTAAACAAGTTTGGTGACTAAAATCTGATTTTATTAAATATATCTGTTTAATAAATCAATTTTGTTTAAATGAACCAAAATACATTGCCTATATTCACTGAGAAATGGATAAGAATATTCATTTTCAAAATGGGGTTTACTCAGTTATGCTGAGCACTGCACATGCACAAACGACCAAATTCTAAGTGACAGACATGTCTTCGTATTTGTTTTAAAGGTTCATGAACTGCCCTGTTTTCAATCTTGTGCTGTTCTTTGATGTCTGCTTATAATTTTAGCTATATTCTTATAAAAAATACACGATCATTTACAGGTAGCGCACTTATTTCTGTCCTGTTTTGACTCTTTCACCAAAACACATTCTTTGCATATGTAATGGATCGTTGACTTATTGACCACTGATATGATTGGCTAAAATATAGTTTTGCATATATATATAAAAATTTAAAAAAATAAAAATAAATAAAGTAATTGTTTGGCATGATTTAGATTAAATATTTACAAATACTGTAAAAGAAAATGTGCATACTGTACAAAACGATATGTAATAACAAAGCAATAGTGACCACATAGTAAAATTAATTTCTCATTTATGTCGTGTCAGAATCTTCATAGAAAAGTTTCACTATCAGTCTTTCTGTAAATCCTAAATTAACTGACTGACACAGTCTGAAACTTCATTAGTGGATGAACTTTTAGATTTTTAGAGAAGGCAATGCAAATGCAACTCACATCATGTGAACTATACACAGATCCTCACATACAGTTATATAATAAAGTATACTTTGGGCTGAAGAATTACTCTTAAGCCACCATGCAACATTCTGACAACCAAATGGAAACGTATATGGCGATCATAAAGAAATGCCACATCAACCACCCAAAACAGCAACTCCAAAGCAACAACTAAACACCCTGACAACGGCAAAGCAACATGTGCTGGTTTCAGGAATATTTATTTGTTCAAAATACATGTTTTTTTTTATTTTTTTTTTTATTTATTTTTTTTTACTACAAATTATTTACAATCCGTTAACAACTTCAGAGCTAAGCCTGTGATTAATTATATATTTAATAATTAATAATAAGTTATATTTAATGTTAAGAAGAACTTAAATGTGGAGGTTTTACTTCTGGAACCTGACTGTTGCCTTCTGTTTATCAGCCACATTGCCACACATTGGCTACTAATCTGAAATGTTGACTACCAGGAAAAAGCAAGACACTAACTAGCTACCCAGAATGCTTCAGCAAGCACAAAGCACATACTGTAGCAACACCATAGCAACCACCAAACCCCCCTAGCAACTGCTTAGAAATCCTGTAGCAACTACTACGAACACCCTAACATTGCAAGGGTTTGTATTGGTACCGTTTACATTTATTTAATAAAAAACACAACATTAGATTTGGAGTTGTGTTTTAAAGCAGACCATATGCTCAATCTCTCAGTGGAAATCCTGCTCAGCGTGTCTCTGCTTCTGTGCTCAATGTTGTGTTCTCTGTGTGGTGATTAAAACCATTTTGAGTTGCTTGGTTTTTTTATGTTTCTTCTGCAGTTTGTTCTAACCCTTGACTCTTTTTTCACATTGTTACATCTGTGTCTGTATTTTTGTATCTTTCATGCAACCTCTTCCAATTTCCTTTCAACCAATCATGTGCGTGCATATGATGTGACTGTGTCATGTGGCTTGCATGGTGCTGGTGATGTCATCCACACTGATGAGCAGAAGGTAAACACTCGGGCTCCAGCTCCATCCTCTCACGTGCAGGATTAGCCCTCACTCACATCAGGATCACTGCATTCATCCCTAACCCGCCATTAGAACTCACTCCTGTCACATTTCTAGAATTAAATCCCCCCAGACAGGTCATGAAAATTCATCCATTCCCAATTTTTAACCGAGACTGTTACCCTTGAGCAACCACTGCGCTCTGACTGCACAAATTATCTTCCGTGGTGAATATGGAATCAGGAGAAAAGAGAGAGAGAGAAAAAAGTTGATGCCGTGTCCTGCCAACCATGGAAATGACATCAAAAGCTCTGGAGCTGAAAAACATTTCCCCAGAGCGATCACTGGGTACGACAATCTCGCTCTTTTATGTTCAGTCTAAACATTTTGACAAGCAGCGGGTTTACAGACGCTCTACATTGACGGCTTTTCATCTCGTGTTGCTTTGGATATGCTGCTACCAGTGTACAATTATATCCAAATTAGAAAATCCCCTCCAAAAATGCTACAGTAGATGCTGCAAGTGGTTGTTCTCAATGGTTTATTTTATTTTTTCTCAGTTTCGAGCATGTTTCAGTAACTTTCACAGTTCCTCATTTCCTTTCAACATACCTTTGAACCTTTTTAGAGGGGTCCTCCTCTTTGCTGCAAAGTTTGTGCTTTGATATGCTGGTTATTTTTACCTGAATGTGTATTTCATGATGATTCTGTACAGAAAAATTATTGTTGACCATATGTCCATTAGATATCCCTTTTAAGGCAGGCATTGCTGATTTGCAACAGTTAAAAACGAACTACCTTATTACTCCAGATACATATTTTATTTTGTACAGTTTTTTTTTTACTCTGAAGTACCACTGCAGGACTTGGTTGTCCATTAGCAACAAACAGTTTCCCCACTTGCTCACCGGATGACACACACAAAAAAAAAATAGTTTCTTGGAGTACCACATGACAAAGTGACTTAGAAATATGACCTACTCAATGAGGATTTGAGATATTGGATTTGGATCCCATATTGTTTTTGTTGATGTTCTGCCACTGGAAAGCAATTTGTTACATTGTTTGAAAAGTTATTATTCATATCATATTCAGTCGTCAGTGTCTAATTACCATACTGAGCCAATGTTGCAAATCTGCAACATCCCAGAACGCCTTGCATGTAAAGGTCTCAAAAAAAAAAGTCAGGATTCTATTGTTCTACCCTATATGATAATTTTCCCCAAATATTAGATTTTTCCTGTTTCTAAAAATTAATTTGAGCCTGAGAGGGATATAAGGCTGCACGATATATTGTTTCACTATAGCATAGATATCGTAATGTGCATATTCGCTGTTGTCACATAGCTGAGTCAGGATTATAACTGGTCAGGAGTCACAGTTCAGAACACATGTGATTTGTGAAGTTATAGAGTACAATACAAAATGGGATCATTCTGAAATTGTAGCCCTGCATACATTTCTGGAGATAGTAAATTATGTAGCCAGAAGTACGTATGGCTGCATTTCATCTTTAAAACAAAGCTGCTGGGCGGTATGATGCCATTCCTTTTTCGTGCTTACCAGCTGACCACTTACCTCCATATGGACAACTTTTTCGCTGTTACCAGTTTGTCCAGTTAGCTCGACATGTATGTCTGCAGACTTGAGACACAGAGAGGTGTGGCCACGACGACAGGGTTCCTGTCTAGTCAAGAATGGTTCCAGAGTAAGACGAAAAAAGAAACCAAAAAAAATAAATAAACAAGTAAATAACAGTGTAAAAGTGTGGTAAAAATCAGGCAAGGGATTTTCTTTTTTTGGATTGCTTTTTAAAACTGTCGGTTGGGTTTAAGGTAGTGGGTGGGCGGGTCAATCGATGTTTTTGAAAACACTATTGGTTGGGTTTAGGGAAGGAGGAGGGTGGGTCAGGGCGTCATGGTGGCACAGTGGGTAGCACAACTGCCTCACAGCAAGAAGATCACTGGTTTGAGCCTCGGCTGGGTCATTGGCATCTCCTTGTGGAGTTTGCATTTTTTCCCGGCTCTGCGTGGGTTTCCTCTGAGTTCTCCAGTTTTCCCCACAAGTCTAAAGACGTGCTATAGGTGAATTGGGTAGGCTAAATTGTCCGTAGTGTATGTGTGCGAATGAGTGTGTATGGATGTTTCCCAGTGACGGGTTGCAGCTGGAAGGGTATCCACTGTGTAAAACATGTGCTGGATAACTTGGCGGTTCATTCCGCTGTGGCGACCCCAGATTAATAAAAGGGACTAAGTCGAAAAGAAAATAAATAAATGAATGAGGCTGGGTCAGTCAATCAGTCAGTCAGTCAGTCGACAGTGGCCTCTGGTGGATTTACACGAGAACAGCAGGCGCAAATGGCAATCGAGAGAGAAATTTGAGATCTCAAAATGTCAAATGTGGTGGATTCACGAAAACAAAAACTACAAAAAACAACTACTGGGACAAATATGCGATCTGCAGAAATATATATAGCGCTACGTTTTCAGAATGAGCCTGGGTTGATAAAATGACATTTATATGTATTTTAAGGCCTGTGACTGTTAGAGCATTTCAAGAGATAATAAAGGGGTAGTTCAGACAAAAATTTAAATTCTGTCACTATTTAATCACTATCAAGTTGTTTCAAATCCTAAAGAGTTTCTTTCTTCTGTTGAGCAAATAATAAGATATTTTGAAGAAAGCTAAAAAAAAACTTGTTTCAGACCGTACAAACACTACGGAAGTCAATGCTTACAGGTTTCCAGCTTTTTTCAAATGCTGTATCTTTTTTGTGTTCAACAGAAGAAAGAAAATCAGAAAGGTTTGTAATAAGTAAAGGCTAAGACTAAGTAAATTATTACTGAATTTTCATTTATGGGCAAATTTTAAAGTATTCAGGCACAAGAAACTGTACTGTTTGATTAATTTTTTTTAACAAAAGATTAATTTTATTGAATCATTTATGCAATGAAGAATTTGCAGTGTTATTTATTCGATTTCTGTCCCTGAATACTGTTTGATCACTCAAAAAAATATAAAACACAATTTATTCATTTTTATCTTAGCTATATTTATCTGCGCTGTAATTAGTTTATTGTATTTAATGCATGATTCACTCCTCTATAAAATTAGCCCAAATAATCTAAATTAATCCAAATAGAGCTAGTTAGGTCATCTGATAGAATTGTATTCACATTCTAATATGTAAAGTTTATTTATTAACTAATTTCGAGAGGATCACATGCTTATGATTGCTTGCAGCCGGTCCCGAATTATTCAATTTGTGATTCACCAATCAGATGATTCCTAAGCCACTGTAAATACCCTAGGTTCCATAACAGTCATCTTCATTTTGAACAATCCCCCCTTTCACTCCTACTCCTTTCCTTTCCATATCTTTCCTAGATGGGTGGCACGGTGGCCCAGGGGTTAGCGCTGCTGCCCCACAGCAAGAACGTCACTGGTTTTAGTCCTTACCAAGCCAGCCGACATTTCTGTGCGGAGTTTACACATTCTCTCCATGCTCATGTGGGTTTTTGCCCTGACTAGTTGTGACAAGCTAGGGGATCTTTTTTTAGAAACATTTTCTATTCCTGCACCATCACGTCCGGAACAGCATAAAAAAGCATTTATATCAGGTAGTAATTATGTGTTTTGTTTGATCTTAGAAGTGTCTAAGGTGAATTTAAATATACATTGCTTCACACCGAAAGCAACAATGGATTATTTACCTTAGATATTAAAAATGCATTAGGGGATGGTTCACGAAATAAATTTAATTTCTGCCAGCATTTAAAACCTATTTAAGTTTCTTTCTTCTGTTGATCAAAAAACAAAAATATATTGAAGAATGCCGATACATAAGCTGCATGGTACCCATTGACTTCCTTTAACATTTTTTTCTTACTATGGGTGTCTATGGGTGCCAGCAACCAGCGTTTTTTCAAAATATCTTCTTTTGTGTTTAACAGGAGAAAGAAACTAATAAAGATTTGTCTGGTGTCTTTATTTTTGTAATCCTAATCACATCACATCTTGTACGGACACAGTGTTAAAGCTTCAAATTCATTTGCACCACCTTGTGTCTTTTTTAAAAGCACATGCAATCAATCTATTTGAACTCAAAATGGGTAATCTTACTCATCCTCGAAATGCTTTTGAATCTTCAGAATACAGATCTATATTTACTAATAGCCACACTTGCTAGGGCATTTAAAAAAAAGACTGGATAGGCCATATCAGTGTGTTCTTTGTTTTATTTAATTACAAGTATTTATTATTATTATTATTATTATTATATTTATTTATTTATTTATTTTTTTTTTTTCATTTATTTATTTATTTTTTTTCTTATTTGTGACCCTGGTTCACAAGACCTGTCATAATTATATATTTTTTGTAAATGTTGATTTATTATTTAAAAGCTGAATACATGATATTTCCAACCCGGGCTCATTGTGGAAACGTAGCCCCGCTGACGTTTCTGCGGGCCGCGATTTACGTCCCGGGAGGTACGTATTCGAGCGTTTTTTTGTTTTCACGGATCCGCGAGAGGCCGCTGTGCGCACTTTTTCGCGCCGTTCTTGCGCGAAAAGCCGCCGGATCGAAAAAAAAAAAAAAAAAGGCAAAAGCCCTCGTCTTCGATTTCGACCGCGTTTTCGGATCCCGCCGCGTTCTCGCCCTTATTTTCCGGATTCCGTTTTTCGTCTTACCTGATTTCCGAAACCCGCTGTTCCCCGGACTCGACCCCGGTCGTCGTCCACCACGGCCGGCTCCTCCTTCTCCTCTGGGGCCTCCGCTCCGCCGACGCAACGCTGTGAGCTAGGCGGACAAACTGATTGCGCGGGAAAGTCCTCCAGCCCTCCACACCGCCCCGCAGCGTTCGCTCGAAAAAACCAAACACGGCCTTTACGTACCTCCGGCCACGTAAATCGCGGTCTCCAGAAACGTCCGCGGGGCTACGTTTCCAGAATGAGCTTGGGTTGGATATTTCTAGTGATGTATGGTTCAAAAATCAA